ACCACCATAGATTCACAGGGCATTTCTATGTACAACCACATTTTCACAGAGCCAAGCATTTTGTATTTTTCTTATTAAATGAATAGCACAATTTGAGCACACTGGATGAATTCAGTTAATTAGGATGTATTTGTTATCAGTACAAATCTTAGCATATTTTATTTCCCCCCTATAAAATCTCTTCTGAAAGTTTTTTTTTCAATCTACTCAAGAACATTGTACCAATAAGTAAATTGCACAGAGACAACACATCATTGCACAGTTCTGTTTTATGAGGCACTATTAAATCCCAGGCTGTCAAACAGAATTAATGCTGTTCATTGCAGAACGGTATTAATGCCATGGTTGGCCCAACAAAAGATACCACCCACTAACATCCGTGCCTCTCCCATTAACAGCACAACAAACTTTTTGAGCACATCTGCAGAACACATAAAAATGGAATTTTATCTCTATAACAGCAGGTTTCAAGTGCTTTATAACAGCGTTTCTCAACCCGTGGGTCATAGGGTTGCCACTCTGACTGAAGCTATTTTTTTTGCCAACATGACGTAATATCATTAATTGTACTGTTCAACCCGTTCACAATATCAATCTCCCAGATTGCTTTCAGTAGTCACCGGGAGATCAATGCCGATTCCAGTAGACCCCCGGCCAATCTGGGAGGTTTGGCAACCCTCGTGGCTTGCAACCCAGAAGTGGGTCACAAGAATATATGAAAGGGTCATGAACAAACTTGAAAAATGGAAAAAAAAACTTTAAAAATTGATTCTCCTTTAAAGGAGAAAACCATGGGAAATTGTGACTTTTCCCTTGCAGGCTGGCAGAGCTCCACTCTTGGGGGCTGGGGCCTGGGGGCAGGAGTATCTACAGATGGTCAGTGCTCTTTCTGGATGAAGTGGTAAAGCAGCCAGAGGCCTCTCTGGCTGCTTTACCACTCCATTCCGGAAGAGCACAGACCATCTGCAGATGCTTCCTCAGCCTGACGAAGGGTGTTTCTGCTCCTTATTTAGTACCTTTTCCTAGTAAAAGCCTTACCTAGTAGCTTCAAACTGTGATTTAGGTGAAGCACCAATACTTAAATTAGGTGCATATTAGGTGCATATTTATTTTGAGGTAAAAAAATAAAGCAGTGCCTGGGTTTGAAACAAATGGTATTTGACTAAGCACTGTCTGAAAACTTGCTGTGTTGGTTGATGACACAGTAGGGTTATCTATTCAAAAACACCATTGTTCTTTAGAATGTCCTTGTGATCTTGGGAGAACCATCACTTCCCCTATCCTCTTCCAAGTGTGAGATAAAAACGACTGCATTCCAAATACTCGGAGGGCCCTGGGGGTAGAACTTGCTTTGCTTGCATCCCAACACCCTGCCGGGTCACAAGGATTGGATATGCCAATAGATTTGAGCAATGATGTAATGGAATATTTGCATTGCATGCAAAACACAGGAAGCCAATATCAGTGTCAGCTGTGTCGGCAGGGTTTCCCAACAGCAGAGTTTTGTCAGTGTTATGTACATTGTTAGAAGTAACCAATTACTTTTTTTTTTTTGCGCAGTGAGGGAAACAACACTGTTTTTATTTGTTTTAAATAAAAATTGTTTTTACACAGGATTTACCAGTTTTTAACACTTTGCCCCCTTCATCTACCTCTGACATTTAATCGCTTTCAAATTTTGGAATATTGTGATCGGTGATCATTTACATTGTGAAAACTTCAGTGGTTTTCTGTTGGAAAAATGTCACAATAAACAACTGACTTACAAAGCTGATGGATCTGAAATAAGAAAAATAATACCATGTTGAAACTAGAAAAATGTAAGAGCCTTAAGAACATATCCTTATACTGTATACAGATAATTGTTTCCTGTAAATTCTACAGGCCCTAGTTTCTTTTCTGACTTGTTGCTATAAAAATAAATTTTGGAAGCAAGAAAGTGAAGTTGGCCCTAAATCTGCTTTGCATTTTTAAATAAGATCAAGACAGATTCAAAGCCAGTATCTTATAGATTCTAAGACATTAGTTTTCAACAGTGTTCTGACACAAATATTTATTGTGTATCTTGCCCTAAATTTAATCAAACTCCTCAATATCTTATTTATGAAGGGTAAAATAGTGTGGCAGGGGTCAGAAAAACTTAACCAAATGCACTTCAGAATTTTCTTAGTTTTTGTGAACTGTAGATCACTGTCCTATGTGGAAGAATATCCTGTTGACCCATGTTCTCTGATTCCTGGGGCAGCAAAAAGGCACTGTGACTTGCCAGAAAGCATTTCTTACGGTATGGCTAGTATTTGTAGGCAGTGACCAGAAGGGTGACATATTTAAATAAGTTAAATTATAGGTTGGACTTGTATAATGACTAATGAGAGAGAAGGAAAACAAGAGATACCTCCTGGAGAAGTGATAGGTGAAAGAGTCCAATTTTTTTGTAATGTAAAAGGCAAAATCAGGTAGAGGGAAAAAGCTTTAAGGGATGGACTTTTGAAAGCCACGGACTTATTAAAAAACTACTACAATTCCCACTTTATAAATAGAGAATAAGAAAGCTAATCTCACCCCTATCTTTTGCTAAGGTTACATGTGCCTCTCCATAGGAAAGTTTCTTCCACCACTAATGCAAATGTAATGTGTGCCTGCATAGGGTGGCTCAGTTAATTGTCAGCAATACAAACAAATGAGACTCCCTCCAGGAATTTGCAAGGATAACCAAAGATAACTCAGCCCACTATACACCAACCTGTTTGCAACTGTGAGCATAACTGCAAAATCATTTAAAAATATTTACTTTTATCTAGTCCCACTCTGCCAGTCTCAGTGAAAGCAACTTTTTTGACCTATACTCAGGAACCAATTTCACCAGAAGTCCCCCATCAGAATCTGCCTCTCGCTGTCCATCCCCTACCAAACCTCGGTAATATCCCACCATGTCTATTGAAAACAGAGAGCAGGAATCTCTGGATATGCCCCCAGGTGGGGTTGTGAGAGAAATGGTGCAGTAGCACTAACATACTGCTGCAATAGCTGCATGTGTTTTTAAATGATCCAGTATAAAAAATTGATACAAAATATTCAATGAAAATAGTGAAACTTATCCAGTCAACAAGACTCTAGCAAACCAATAGTAGAGCTGACAATAGTAAGCTAGTTTCCTGACTTCTGATCTCATCTTCTTCAGTGCCTCATGGTTCTTCTGTATCTCATATCCCATTTATATCAATGAGAGTTCTACTGCAGGTTACCAACAGACAGGCAGACAGTAAGGATTACAAACCCAGACAGTACAGACTGATTTCAAACTATCTCCCAGCCATGCCTTCACTATTACACTAGACAGTTTTGTAATAGTCCCTGGAACAATGGGATCCTGGGCACATGAGAACTTCTTTAATGGGTATAGCTGGGTAACTGAGTAATTAGCAACCAGGCCCACCCAAATTTAAGCCTACCTGAATGCTAAATTAATACATTAATTTAGGGACAAATGAGGTACCAACCACACTGGTTGTTCTCTATAGCCAGGGGGTTAAGTGTAGGCCACTTGCAAATAAGAAATGATGTCAGACTTTCCTTTATGATCCATACTCCATCATTTCCATTTGTAGCTCAACTCCTGGTGTTATATGCTGTGTCAGCATAGATAACTCAATATATTCAGTAGATTAAACACAGCTTCTTGTGATCCCTCTGCCTTCATTAAACCTTTGTTTTCTTGCTGTTGATGAATTTTACATCTAATTACCTATACTCCTCATCGAACATTCACATTTAGGTTCACATGGTAAGAGAACTGCTTCTTTACCTGCAGGTTGCTTTAAACTCGTTTATGTTTCAGTCATGCAATGAAAGCGTGTGATTTACTGTCTTTATGTTCTCCTCCCCCACTCCACTCCAAGTTTCAAGTCTCGCTGTATAAACAGTGTCATTCACAAGCTATTTATCAGAAGTACACTTGAATTGCTGCTCCTAGGAGCTCATCGGCTGCAGTTTTCAATACAGAAACGAATCCTAGCTTTTCTACTTCCTGTAATCTCAAAACAGGCACTTGGGTCTGAAATTTAGATCTCGGTTTAGATGGTTTAAAAATGTTATTCCCACGAGTTTAATTGTAAGATAAATGTATGCAAATGGACAAAAGCAAAGAATATCAAGTCTAGTGCTCCAACTAATCACGTTACTTTGGTAAAACGACAGTAGTTTATGCCAGTGTAATTAAAAAAAAAAATGTTTTCCAGCAAGAGGATTTTGCATGTACTGCATTGGAGATGTTTGCCTCCTAAAATAATCATTGCCATACCACAGACATAACATAGGTGATTTCCAGTGGCATCAATTATATGAAAAGATATTTTCACTACCCTTCATTGTTAGCAATATTTACACAGAGAGATTCTGAGTAAATAAATGGGCCAAAGTAAAAAAGGAGAAAGTATTACTTGCCTGTTCTGCAGTTTATTTTTTTGTTTCTCTTTTGAAGTTTGCTGTATGTAGAGAATTTATGTTTTAACTAAAGATGTTTTTAGCTCTGCCTTGCAGAGACAGCCTTCCCCACAGGGCAGTGAAATGGCTGAAGGTAAATCTACAGGAATTGGTCTCCTGAGAAATACTAGAATCCAACCGTATCATCTTTAGTTCAGGATTTTGACTAAGGCAAATCCTAACCCTGTGTGCACCTATTCTTTCCCAACCTAAAAATGAAGTGCCAGACTTATCACTATAGTAATTCTTTCCTGCATTCTCTTCCTTGAATCTTACATTATATCCAGAGTGTCTGCAATGCATGTAGTTTGTTTTGGGGTTTTTTTATATCCAAATTAAGAGGGTAAGGTACAATCAAAGCATGGAAGCATTGATCTTTCTATACTTGATTGCTTTAAAACCATGTTACAACATTGCTCCTGCTTAACTGTTACACAGAGTTTGGTTAGTCTGCCTGAATGAGACTAAGTACTGTTAAAGCTACTTTTAAAATAGTTTTCCTCCGTTTTCTTGTGCAGGGACCGGGACTTCCCTGCTGTGATAGAAGCCGGACGCGAGGGGATCGCCTTCAGACCTCAGGTTGGGGAGGACCGGGTTAGAGAGCTTCTGGAGGGGCTGGACGCGTTCAAGTCAGCGGGTCCGGATGCTCTCCACCCCAGGGTGCTGAGGGAGCTGGCTGGGGTTATTGCAGGGCCCCTGGCACGGCTCTACGAGCGATCGTGGTGCTTGGGCCAGGTGCCAGACGATTGGAAGGTAGCTAATGTGGTCCCCATCTTCAAGAAAGGGAAAAGGGAGGACCCGGGCAACTATAGGCCCGTCAGTCTTACCTCAATCCTGGGGAAACTCTTTGAGAAGATCATCAAGGAGCACATTTGTGATGGGCCGGCATCAGAAATGATGCTCAGGGGCAATCAGCATGGATTTATTAGGGGGAGATCATGTCAGACCAACCTGATTGCCTTTTATGATCAGGTCACAAAGGCCATGGACGCAGGTGTCGCAGTGGATGTAGTCTTTCTGGACTTCAGCAAGGCCTTTGACACCGTCTCTCACCCCATCCTAATTAATAAACTAGGCGACTGTGGCATAGATGCCTACACAGTCAGATGGATTGCAGATTGGCTGAAGGGTCGCACTTAGAGGGTGGTGGTGGATGGATCATAGTCGACTTGGGGGGAGGTGGGTAGTGGAGTCCCCCAGGGCTTGGTCCTGGGGCCTGCGCTGTTCAATTTCTTCATCAGCGATCTTGATGTTGGGGTGGAAAGCAACCTGTTTAAATTCGCTGATGACACCAAAATTTGGGGGGAGGTGAGCACGCTAGCAGGGAGAGAGAGATTGCAGAAGGATCTGGATAGGTTACAGGGGTGGGCAAACAGGAACAGGATGTGTTTCAATACGGACAAGTGCAGGGTGCTGCACTTGGGTAGTAGGAACCAGCAGCACACTTATACGATGGGGAACTCCCTACTTGAGAGCACGGAGGCGGAAAGGGATCTTGGTGTCATTATTGACTCCAAGATGAACATGGGCCGACAATGCGAGGTCATGGTTGGCAGGGCTAACCGGACCTTGTCGTGCATCCACAGGTGCATCTCGAGTAGAGCCAGGGAGGTGATCCTCCCCCTCTATGCGACACTGGTCAGGCCGCAGCTGGAGTATTGTGTCCAGTTCTGTGCGCCCCATTTCAGGAGGGATGTGGACAACATGGAGAGGGTCCAGAGGAGGGCCACCCGCATGATCCGGGGACAACAGGGCAGACCCTACAGTGAGAGACTGCGGGACCTGAACCTATTCAGCCTCCACAAGAGAAGGCTGAGGGGGGACCTGGTGACCGTCTATAAACTCACTAGGGGGAACCAGAAGGGTTTGGGGGAGACGCTGTTTCCCCTAGCCCCCGCTGGCATAGCAAGGAGTAATGGGCACAAGTTGATGGAGAGGAGGTACAGATTGGACATCCGAAAAAGCTACTTCACAGTTAGGGCGGCTAGGAGCTGGAACCAACTTCCAAGGGAGGTGGTGCTGGCCCCTACCCTGGGGGTCTTTAAGAAGAGGCTGGATGCCTACCTGGCTGGACTCATTTGAGTCCCGTTTTTGTTTTTAGGGTTTTTTGTTGTTCTCCCGCCCTGGCGGGGGGTCGGGCTAGAAGATCTATTAGGTCCCTTCCGACCCTAAAACTATGAAACTATGAAAATAGTTTCAAATCAAGTGGGACTAGAACAGTTTAAAAATGGGAGTGAGGTGAGGAAGCAGAACAACACAGCTTCATTTCAGCTACATTGACATTCCAGTTCTTAAACGAGAACAATATAAATGCATTTCTTAAAACACATCAGATTGGCCAGTACAGAAAGGTCTGCACAGACTAGCTCTGGCTGTTTTTTTCCCTCCTTTTCATGTGATGTGTTGCATAGTTTTATGCATTGTAGGCAAACTTAAATGAACTCAGTGACTCTGATGTTTGTTTACTTATACTGGTTCATACTTACCAAGGTGCAAGGCTAATTTCTGAGCATGTCTCTACCTCTCCTGGTGCTTATTTTCCCATTTGCAAAGGCTGAAATTCACAACCAGTCCTTGGATTGTTTTTCCACGAGCTGGCAGTTCATTAGCAGAGGGACAACTGTAAAAGAAACTGCCTACTTATTGTACAACAACAAATAATCAGCACGACACAGATACATGGGATTTCTTGCTCTTTTCACCAACGCTTCCAAGACTTGGCTTTCCTAGCAGTTTGGTTTATAGCCTTTTCTTCAAATCTCTGTTTCCAGAACCACTAACTGCCATCGTCTCTTTAAAGAGGAAAATACAAGGAAAAATATCCTTTCGGTACGTCCCCACAAAGCTCTCTCACCAACAGCAAGACAGGACGGAAAGAAAATTATTTCATAAGGTGGCAGCCCAGCTTTGTATGTTGTTAATTGTAGCAGAGAAGTCAGGTGGCCTAGTAGTTGTATTAAGAAGCAGTAGATCAATACAGCACCAAGTAGCACATAGATTTAATAGATTTCTAGAGTCAGAAGGGACCTGGTAGATCGTTGGGTCCGACCCCCTGCACCAGGCAGGAAGAGCACTGGGGTTAAGTAACCCCTGCCAGATGCCTGTCTAATCTCCTCTTGAACACCTCCAGGGTAGGGGAAAGCACCACCTCCCTTGGAAGCCCATTCCATATTTTGGCAACCCTTATCATAAAGAATTTCTTATGTCCAATCTAAATCTATTCTCCTTCAGTTTGTGGCCATTATTTCTGGTAAGCCCGAGGGGTGCCCTGGTAAACAGATTGTCCCCTATTCCCTGCTGGCCCCCCCCGATGAGTTGGTAGGCAGCCACAAGATCGCCTCTCAGCCTTCTCTTGCAGAGGCTGAAGAGATTCAGATCTCTCAGTCCGTCTTCATAGGATCTTACCTGCAGGCCCTCAACCATACGAGTAGCCCTCTCTGAACCCTCTCAAGGTTATCCACATCCCTCTTGAAGCGCGGGACTCAAAACTGGATGCAGTACTCCATCTGTGGCCTCACCAATGCCACATAGAGGGGAATTATCACTTCCCTAGACCTGCTTATGATGTACATGCTGATGCAAGAAAGAGTGCGGTTAGCTTTGCTTATTACCTTGTCACACTGGCAACTCATGTTAATTTTTGCATCAACCAGGACTCCGAGATCTCTTTCCACTGTTGTGGTACTCAGAATGGTACCCCCCAGTCCAGGGGCAGGCAATTATATCAGGCAGAGAGACGCTTACTGAGTTTTTACAAGCCATCGAGGGCCACATGACAGGCAGCCGGGGCAGATATATATTAATTTTCTAAATTTTTTAAGGGCCCCATGGGACAGATAGAATGGCCTAGCAGGCCACATCTTGCCCACTCCTGCCCCAGTTTATAGGTGCGTTGGAGATTCTCTCTCCCCAGGTGCAGCACCTTGCATTTATCCTTTTTGAATTGCATCCAATTCTGATCTGCCCACTTTCCCAGTCTGTCCAAATCTGCCTGAATTCGCTCCCTGCCCTCCAGTGTATTTACTATGCCCCATAGTTTAGTGTCATCTGTGAATTTGGACAAGGTGCTTTCAACACCTTCATCCAAATCGCTAATGAAGAAATTAAACAGTACTGGTCCAAGACAGAGTCTTGGGGGACACCACTGCCCACATCCCTCCAGGGAGAAACCATGTCATCCACCACCCCTCTCTGGGTGCGTCCTATAAGCCAGTTTCTCACCCACTTTACTGTGAAAAAATACACATCACAGCTACTCAGTTTATGCATAAGAATTGGGTGCGACACTGTGTCAAAAGCCTTTTTAAAATCCAGGTAAATAATATCTACTTCCTCCCCTACATCTAAGCACTTTGTGACCTGGTCATAAAAAGAGACCAGGTTAGTCAGGCAGGATCTGCCTGCTATAAACCCATGCTGGTTGCCCCTCAACATTGTGCTACCCGCTGGCTCCCTGCAGATGTGATCCTTAATGATTTTTTCTAAGGTCTTGCTGAGAATAGAAGTGAGGCTAACTGGCCTATAATTACCTGGGTCCTCCCCTTCCTCCCTTTCTTGAACATAGGGACCACGTTGTGCCCATTTCCCCTCCTCTGGGACCTGTCCCAAGTGCCACGAGCGCTCAAACAGCTGTGCCAGTGGTTCTGCTATGTCATCGGCCATTCCTTTAGTACCCTTGGGTGAAGATTGTCAGGGCCTGCCGACTTAAATACATAAGGTCCCTGCTGTTAGGTAAATATTATTTGAAAGCTTTTCTTGGTCTCAGGAAGCCAAGGCATAGCAAAAAAAGAGGTAATATACATAATGACATCATTATGGAAGTGTTAGACTCCTTTCTTCACCACAGTTTCAAAATGCTTACCTAGGCCTCTACATGCCTGTGGGTGAGGGAAAGTAGGGACCCGGAAAAGTATTCCACATAAATGGACCCAGCACTCTGTAAGAAGTGCAGCATACACCGCAGAGGAGTTTCTGCCTGCACAGTGTCTGCAACAGGACCCAAGGCTATGCTGAAAAGACAAGTCATCTGTGATGGAAAACAGAAATGATACAGATAAATAACAGTTTAGGACAGGAAATAAAAGAAAACGCACCATCAGTGTGAACTCACAGAATAAAGATACAGTTACCCCATCTGGAATGTGCCCCAACAGCAGGGTTAGCATCATTTAATGACCACAAGATTTCAAGCCTTCACTTGGCTTCTGATATGAAAATGGAATCTCCAGCAATGCAGTGACCACTACCGTAACTTTACATTATTAATTTATTAGTGATTCAGAGAACAGAAGAGCAGATTTGAAGCATCTAAGTACCCTGGAGTCTCAGGATGAAGTCTTGGCAGATTTGCCTCTGTTTTAATGCATCTGGGGTAAAGCAATCGAGTTGCATGCTTTTTCCTGGATTGGAACCCAGATACTGTGGAGGATGATGAGCTCATGGAAACCTTAATAGATTTCGGTGATCCTCTTTCAGAGGGGACTTTGGAAAGTGCATCTGTGGCCTGCTCAATGTGAAGATTAATGAGGTCCTGGCATTTTCGGAAAACCAAGATCTAGGGCTCAGATCTGTAATCAAGATTTCCCCTTGTCCACTGCTGTGCCAGTGCAGACTAAGCACTGGTGTTTTGTATGCTTGCTGCTTTGCTCTGCATTTCAGTCCTGTCCCTCCCATTCATTACCAGAGCAGCTCTGCTGCAGCTCAGATGACCTCATTCTGTCACTCACAGCTTTTTGATATTTTTGTGAACGTTTTTCAGTATGTTCTGCTTCTCTTTACACAAAGCTGCTTTAAAACTGAGAAGCCCACAAAGCAGGGATTTCCCATAAACAAAGTAAGGGCAGGAACTCAGCACAAGCATCTTTTTCCATTTTGCAGTTTACTGGTGTGAGAGAAAATTAAACATACCTCTAGAAAAGCTAACTAGTTAGAGTATGCAGGACCCTATCTACTGTTCATACTCAGGCAAAATGATAAGCAGCTAGGAGTTTTAGTGGGAGTTTTATTTGAACAAGGCCCTCAATAAGGATGAAAAGAAAAGTTATTTAAGGACACTATTGCAGCAGTTAAGCTCATACTTAAAACATTTGTTATTTGTTCATACATTTATCACCAATGTTTATTAATTATGCCAATATCTGGCATAATGGTTGGCACTATAATGACAACAACAATATTAGCTATTATTGCTATCATTATTATTGAATAATGCCAACCCTTATGCCAGATGCAGGCAGACAGGTCCCTACTGTAACCACATTACAGTGTAACCTGTCAAACCCCTATTTCTGGATACATCTTTACTCCGATGTAAATCTAGTACAGTGATTTTCAACCAAGGTGCCACTAGAACCTTTGAAAGGTGCTTCCAGGAGGGAGGAGATAAGCAAGGTATGAGGAGATAAGCAAAGTAGATAAATGCAGGCTCACGCTTGTCCTTGCATGAATGATTCTCCACCCTTCTGCAAGGAGGTAAGCACTACAGTATAATACGTAAATTAGTTTTTGAAACTTAATGCCGCTCAATTCATAAAAGTTATGGAGGGGTGTCTTGAGTCCAAAAAGGCTGAGAACCACTGATATAGTGGCAGTAGGAGGTTTGAGTAAAACTAAGTGAAGTAGTACCAGTTAGCAGGTTCAGGACCTTGTAGACAGAACAGGACAGCAATGCAAACTGAGTCTTATTTTTTTCTTTTTCTCAGTCTTTGTATTTGTATAATAAAGCTTTACTTCAGATGTCTGATCACATCATCAGATCCAAAACCAAGCTCATGGTTACCAAGCAGTTCTGATCCCCATTTTACTGTATGGAGCTGAGATGTGAATGGCTTACAGGAGATGCTTCAAGTCACTGGAGAAGTACTGTCAATGCTGACTGCAGAAGATCCTATAAATCCAATGGGAAGACAGATGCCTCAACATCAGTGTCTTCTCACAAGCAAACACTGCAAGCATTGAGGTGATGATCATCCAACATCAACTTTGCTGGGCTGGCCACATCATCCAGATGTCTGACTCCAGACACTTGAAGCAAGTTTTATTCTCCCAGCTCAGTCAAGGCATACGCTCAAAAGGAGGGCAAAGACAGCACTTCAAAGATGTCCTCAAGCCCAATTTGAAAAAATGTAACATTAACATCAGCTCATGGGAGACTATCACCTGGAGGAAAAGTCTATTGCAAGAATCTTAGTATTTTGAAACCTTACAATGACCCACCCTGCATGGAGACATGTGGTCAAGTTGCAACAGAGACTGTCAATCCCGGACAGGTCTTGTCAGCCATCTTTGGACTCGCAGATAAAGCAATCATGGAAGAATTGTCCTTGACTAAGAAGGACTATGAATATAAAAATAAAATAAAGCCTTACTTGGATAAGTTACTTGTCACTCAGTTGAAAGAAAAGGTACTAAGCATGTTAAATATTGCAAGATGCTGTTTGTCATCAAAAGCAGAACTGTTTATAGCTGGGGACCTACCAAAATTGCAGTTTCATGGATTTCATAAAATCCGGCATTGCTATGGAAGCGGGCAATAGCTGCAAAATCTGTGAAAAAAAAGAAAACTTACTGAAAATAAAATCCTGGCTCCCCAGAAGGGACTGTCTGTCTGAAGGGCAGTCCAAGATAGCTTCTGCCTCTTGCTGCTGATTGGTGGGGAGGAATGTTAGTTATGTGGCCCTACTCCTCTCCTCCAATTGGCAGCAAGGGGCAGGGCTGCATGATGGACAGCCCTCAAGACCAATCAGTGGTGAGGGGTGGGGCTGTTTGTTGGATACCCCTCACAGCCAACGGTGGTGAAGGGCATGGCCACGGGGGCCGCTCAGCCAATCAGAAGCATGGGATGGGGCCACCACGATCAGCCCATGAATATGGTGGCCAGTCCCATGATCTTCCTGTAAATCAGCTGGCCACCTCCTCAACTTAGGTAGACTCCTATTTATAGCTCAGAGGTGGTACTGCATTCTTACTTGATTGCATGATATTTTAAAATGCTTAAATAATATGTTATGAAGATTTGTAAAAAAAATAATTAAGAGTCAGATTGTGTTCAAATTTACTGTGTGCAGGTCTGCAGAAGTCAGTGCATTTAGCCAGGGTGTTATTCAGGACAGTATTTGTCCCAAAAATAAGATGATATGATATTAAATAAGTATCTTGCTAAAAGAAATTAGCAATCTGTAGGTTTCTGGACCAGTTATACCAATGTACTACTTCCCATTCCCAACAGCTGTATAGACATTAATTAATAAGACAAGCAAACTTCATCATCCCAATATTACAGATGGGAAAAACTAAAACACCAAACCTGACCTGCCCCTGGCAAACAGAACAGAACTCGCTGGCACATAGAACAATACTCAGGTTTATGTTTCTTATCTACCTCTGACTTTTATGGGGAAGGGTAACTCCTGTATGCTGTGTGCTCATCCTTAGAGCTCAGTGTTTTCCTGCAATATCAAGGGGCAACATCCTGTGTTGAGCATATAGCATGACTATATCAACTGCATTGCTAGGGAGGTTTGTGGGGATCAGGGGAAAGGAATTCTTTTCCCTGTGCAGAAGCCTCTCCAAATTCCCTACGCTAGCCTAGCTTCTGTGGCTGTTGTACTGTGTTCTGCAGAGATGGGAAATGTACTAGCCTGTCTTTAGGGCTGTGTGAAGCTTTGGGTGCTGATTCGATTCAGAGGCGATTCGGCCCGATTTGGTGGCCAAATCTCCAAATCCAAATCGAATCAGGGGACCAATAAAAAAGTCCAAATCAATTTGAAGCTGTCTGAATCTTCGGAAAAGATTCGGAGAGCTTTGATGATTTGGGCAGTCCCCGCCGGCTGCAGTAGGGAAGCTGGAGCTGAATTCGGAGCTGGTAAGTACTAGGGGCAGGGGAGTGGGGGCTGAAGGAGGGGGGAGGGAACCATGGGGGGATCCCTGCCAGGCCTCATCCTCTGCCTGCTCCTCCTGACCCCTGCCCTGGCTGGCCTCACCCCCTCCCGTCCCCCCAAGGCCCCTGACC